AACTGTTCGTTACAATATCTCATTAAAAGTTCCCCCTAATTGTTAGCAACACTGTTTACATACTGTATAGACTGGGCTTTCTCTTTGAGTGCTTATTTAATCTCCTTCCTTGAATCCATAGTAACCCTTGCAGTACACTCCACATTTACTCTCAGTATAGGAATGTATGAAAGGTTACCAATGCGAGGAGGCTGTTCAGAAAAATAAAGCTGTCACCTCCTTTGTTCTTCTGTAATTTTTAAAATATATTTTCTTATTTAGTTCTGGTTCTGTAAATCGTGTACAGTCTTGTGACCGAGGAAGAAATGCACATTCTGTCACAAGTGATTTCTTGGGAGTAACAGAACTGAGCTCTCCACTGTTCCATTTGCTTTTTAAATGTATGAACCTGTTCATACAGTAACTCAGCAGTTTATGTATTTAGAGAAGTATGACCAACAGTGTTTAGCACTCTTGTGGCAGACAGCATACATACCACTGCAAAGATCTTGGTGTTCAACTGGGGTATCCATTTTTAAGATCAATAATGCCAAGCTAGAATATAGTTTTCTTGAAGCTTTGTTTTTATGTTCAGTGTACATGCTAAAACCAGTTAGTTTTCTCTCTCATATCCTTTCGGCATTTATTGTAGAGTTTTGCTTAGTCTACAACTTTAAATAGCAATCTCTAATTGTTTTTAGGGACTGGTTTTGAATTCTGGTCTTAGGAACAGTTTCTGAGGTCCGTCGTTTATGAGTTCTGTCATTTATTTTTCTGATCTAAACATGAAGAAACACTTAAGAAACAACCCAGATAGTTTCTGTACTTGCACAATTTTCTTTAGTGTTATAAAAAATCCTTATATAGGATTTTATTAGGATTATATGTTTACAAAATACAAAAGGATTATGTTATAAAAAATCCTTATATAGGATTTTATAAGGATTATATGTTTACAAAATAGTACCCACCACACCTTGTTTGAACATAAGAAAGGTCATAAGCAAGAGAAGATGTGTTCTATCCAACTCATTTAACTCATGAGGATCTCATTGAGTAATTTCTTGACAGAAACCAGCTTCAGCAATTGGGCTCGGCACCGTGATCCACATTCCACAATCATTTGGGTGGAGAAGTGCCTCTTGCTCTCAGTTTTAAATGCATCCCAATTATTAACACTTGCATACTCTGGTTTGTGTTTAACCGTTGAATTTACTTTGTCAGTGCCTTTGCAGATTATGAATACTTGATTCAGGTCCCCTCTTATGCCTCTCTGTTCAAAACTAAAATGTTTTAGTTCTTTTAGTCTTTCAGCGTAGGCCATTCATTTAAGCTCAGGGTTGCATCTGGTTGCTATTCTCTGGACTGACTTTAGAACAGCAATGTATTTTTGTAATACAATGGCCACAATTGTACTCAGCATTCAAAATATGATTTTACTTGTGCATTGTGTAGATTTGCATAACATCCCTTGATTTAATTTCTACACTTTTAACCATATATTCAAGCATTTCGTTGTTATAGCTCCCCCATATTGTCTAGTATGTGTAAATAACGTTTCAACAAAAACAACCAAGCCTTTTTCATAAGGAGATACTTTTATTTTTCATACTGTATGTATTTTGTTCTGCACATAAACCTCTGCATATTTGCCAAGCATTTGCCCAGTCCTAAACTTTGTCTAAGTAATTTCCTTTCCCATTTCTAAAGTGTGTACTAGTCTTTAGTGACATCTGTAAAACTGACTAGTTTACCACCTATACAAGAATATAGATCATTGATATGAATTAGAAAGAACAGTCCCATGGGACATCATATACATTAATTAGTTGAGACCCTGTGGAACTCCACTAATTATATGAGAAAATGAAATTAAAATGTAGGTGTGTTCTTCAGAGAACATCTAGATTTCTGTGATGTTTGCAGGGCATCACAGTCAAACTCACATAAGGTATTTATCTTCAGAGAAGCTGCATCATCTGCTGTTATTGAATAAATAAGCTTGGTAAGAAATTCAAGTTAGCTGAGTCATAACTACAGCATTAACAGCTTAGACGTCTGTCAGAGGTGAAGAATAACATCTTCAGAGTTGTCAGGAAAAAGTACAAAATCTGTTATATATTTGCATTTATTATGTTCTCCATAAATAGGAGTAGTTAAGTGTGGCTGGTGAGTTGAATGCATCCCATGAAATGCCTTTAAGCTTTTAACAAAGTGTAGTGAACCAGATACCATGTAGGTTATGAAAGGTTATGAAACTGAGGTTATGAAAAGTAAGTGAATCTCAATAAGGGCAAATACAACAGTATATGACTGTTACTGTATATCATGAAAAGGGAATGTGAATAATTTTACTAGGAGTGCTTTGTGCCCTACTATTGAAGATATGCCATCGTTGTCCATATTTATTTTACAGCAGTAGCTGTTTAAGAGCACCTCTAAACAATGCAACAAAGTATTGGAAAGTACTGTACTAGACCTTAATGGAGTTTCTAATATTGGTGTATTGGATATTTTGTCAAGGAGAATCTGTGTACAGTATGTGAATGAGTGTATTTGATCCAGACACTTCAGAAATGTAGCATTTTCAAAATCTTATTATTAGTTAACTTAAGAGACATCATGATATGCCACCAGAAAATGGTAGCTTACACATCCTATTTTTCCATCTCCTGAGTATGAAATGGCATAACATGTGCAAGGTAAGAAATGAGTGCTGGCAGGTTTGCATGTACAAGGATGGTGTGTGCATTCATTGAAAGGCACATGGGTTTGTTGGTTTAAATCGCATTTCAGCAATTGTACAGAACAGTGAATGAGAGGGAGATCGTTTCTGACAGGAAAGGAGAATTCAAGGTCCGCTCATCAGCCATCAGAACTCTTACAAAGCTCTGGATACCACATGCAATGACCCAATGGCAAGATAACCAAATTCCTAAAAAAACGGATTAATTGCATAGCAAGCAAGAGTTACATCTATTAACACACTTGAGCACTATGGATCGCTTGTAAACCCAATTGCTGTCATCATGCAACTAGGCAGTAATACAGTAACTGGCTTTAATGGACTATATAATCCATATGATATGTAGCCTTTGAACTTGCTTGACAGAAAATTTGTAAATGACTATGTAATGTCACAGTAAAATCTGTAGTCATTTCTG